CCCCCCCCCCCCCCCCCCTCTCTCTCTCTCTCTCTCTCTCTCTCTCTCTCTCTCTCTCTCTCTCTCTCCTTTATATTACGACTAGATCTCTTTTGTTCAAAATGACAGCAAGGGCAATGTAACATAACCAGACACTCTTTAAAGCTGTATTTAGAGTTAATTTGTTGGAAATGTAAAGGCTAGTATAGAAGGAAAACAGGAACAAAGAGCACCCCACCCCATGAACAATGGCAAATGTCGCCTACGCAGTTAAATGCGCACTGAAAAAAACAATACAACGCAAACAGACAGTGATATTTTATATCAAACGCGTCGTTAATATAGCTTATTGACGATGATCTTGCGATATTTTGATGATTTTAAACCGCTTGAGAGCGAAAGACAGCTGCCACACCCTCTCTGACATCTCAATTATTATGACGTAATGAAGAACTCGCTGACCCTTTCGCGATATTCACGGATGCAATTCGATTTGCAAAACTAGACATACCTATAAAAAAGATTTTGCGGTAGTAAAAGCGCAAAGTAATATTTTGATGATATGATTTTATTATAGAACATCGAAGCGAATGGTGGTTTGCTGAAACAACATCCTCTTTATTTTTGATTACCTTCGCTCCGATCTGATTCCCGCACTGGCCCGCCTGCAGGTGCACAATCTCGCGCATGCTGACTTCAGATGTCTCGAGCGACTTCAAAGCGAGGAAACGGCTCGTTATCACACCCTCTCCGGAAGACTGTCTCGCCGAGACTAGCGCGCTCTCCCGTCAGCCTGCTTCCAGCCCTGCTGCATTATGACGCAATCCCATCTCCATGACAACGGAGCGGATGAGACGGTCCAGCGTTCCTTCATCTTTCTCCTGTCGAGCATCAGCTCTGAGGACGTTGTCTATTCCTTTATGCATGTTATAAACAGTAGACTAAAGATGAGAAGCGATGTGGAAATAGAACAGAACTTTTTTCCCCTTGTAATTTATCATCACCACATCAAACGTTCTGGACTGCCTCATCCGCTACGTTGTCATGGAAATGGGGAGATGGGGGAGGGGGGTCACATTTTCAAATGCCATTCCAGTGCTGCAGTTTACACACTTCCATGACCCATAAAAGATCAACAGAGCAGCTGCCAGTTTATCAAAGGTTGGATTTACACAACCAGGTTTTGCAGATCATTTACAAAGAAATTTAAGTGGACTGATAGCAGCTCTCCACGGTCAATAAGCTCATTATGAATATCCTGTTTGATACACAAAACTGAAATTTCAACAAACGTCCATTGAAATTTCATCTGGTCTGAAGGAAATAAAGAGCTCTGTGCTCTTACTACACAGCAAAATCCCCAGAGTTAATCTACAGCAGGGGCCAGTTGTTAAAAAGTAATCTGATCGGATTTTGGCCATCAGATTGGATCAAATCTTGAAAATGGGTTGTTCAAAAAAATATATATAATAATAATAAAATAAAAAAAAAATCCTTACTTTGTGTTGTTCAAAAATGTTTTAGTAAGATTGGGATACTTTTGATAAAAAAAAAAAAAAAAAGAAGGATTATTCTGATCCCAGCAGAAGGGTGGATTTCAGGAACAAAAATGTAATACAATTTTAAAACTGTTCCAAAAATACAACTTTTGTAATGTAATATATATCGCCAAACAGCTGTCAATATAAAACTAAAATATTATATTTAATTTTAATAAAAAAATTTAATCACTGATTGTAAACTACATTGGCACAATCATCAGAGATGGACCAGTCAGAAGTAGTTATTTGTGTAAATGCAATGCAAAACATTGCCTTTTTTTTCATCACCATGTCTCTTTAGGGGCTACGTAGAGCACTAGTAATCCAGATTTGGAAATCTGGATCAGGATGATCCAATCCAATTTTGCTTTGCCGGCACAAAAGTAAGATGGGTTACCTGATCCTGGATAGCAAAACATGGAATTTCCAAATCCAGATCATTCTGATCCAAAATAAACTTTTTGAACAACTGGCCCCAGGATTTTGTTGTGTAAGAGGGTACAGGCAGGTGAGTTTTATCAGGATTGGAGTTAAATATGCCCCTCCAGGACCGAATTTACCCATGCCTGGTCTAAACTGTACAGATGTTCAAAACTCATGTGCAAAGTGCTTTTAAGTTTTCTCATGTTTATGCATTAAAATACAGCTGCAATCAATAATGGAAAATAAGTTAAATATCACCACTGATTATTAGATGATAACTTGTGATCAATAAGCGGCCAATATGACATGATCACGTTTTCTCTGGGCTTTACATGCCACAACAAATGTGTTCCATAAACACAGTTAAAGCAGTCAGAGAAAAACTAATGTTTCAAAGTCAAGGGTCAGGAGCCCAACTAAAGCAAACGCTCATCTCCACAACGGTGAATTCAAACTTTATTATTTTCAATAAAACATCACCATCTAAACCTCTATTAAGTATCAATAAGAGCTTCTGTAGACGTCTGACAGAAATTGTTGAGTTGTTTAATTAGATCTTGAGAGATGTAATGTCTTTTATTTCAGTTGATTTGATCTAAGACTGGCTGAAGTCAGTTGTAGTTCTTGTGTTTCTCTTTTCTTCAGTGATTCTGCTTGTTAACAGCAGCTGTTCGTCACTAATTCTCAATCAGCACTTAATTAGTCACCTAATTCTCTCATTAACTTTTTTTAAAGATTAACTCTGCTTTTAAAGGTGTCATATGATGCGATTTCAATTGTTCCTTTCTCTTTGGAGTGTTACAAGCTCTTGGTGCATAAAGAAGATCTGTAAAGTTGCAAAGACTAAAGTCTCAAATCCAAAGAGATATTCTTTATAAAATTTAAGAGTCAACGTGTTTTTTTGTACTTTAAACCACATAAACACATTTCATTACACCAAATACACCAAATAATGTTATTTTTAGCAGCATCATATGACCCATTTAACACTCTTGTAGAGTGGGACCAAATGTGCTCTGAGCAGAGTTCATTTAACACTCCGGTTTTTGCGGTGTAGCAATCTTGAAGGCATTGATTAGCTTGTTCAGGAGTGTTTGAACAGGGTTGGAGCTAAACTCTGCAGGGACACCGGCCCTCCAGGGCTGGATGTGCCCACCCCTGCACTAGTGCCTACAGTATTTCTACATCTCCATGTGAGATGATTGCAAAATGCCTGTATGCTGGCTACTTTGGGTTGCCCTCAGACTATGGTAGTTCACTGTGAGGGAAAAACATCTTTGCATGGACTTCCAAAGGCAGAGGAAATTAAAACTATCCTAGCCAGCACACCCATGTGGGGCCCAGATGGATGGCACCTAGGCAATCTAACTGGATCCCAGCTAGTTTTGTCCCCAGTTTCCATGAGATCATCACACACAAATCAGCCCAGATGAGTTCATGAAATGAACACTGCTCAGTTTGCACACTACAGAGTGTTCAATGTAACAATTAAAACCACTTATTCTCTGGGGCGTTTTTGGTATTTTCGCCTAAATTTGACATACTCAAATTCAAATGTTTGCCCTACACACATACAATGGAGGAAATGAAAAAAAAATGGTTTCATTGTAAAGAAAACCATTTGAACTACAAAATATGAGTGTAATTCTTTATAAATAACATTATAAATGTTTCAAATATTACAATAAACAAAAAGAAAACATAGGCGCTTTTTGAGTTTTAAAACAAATTATTTTTTTGAAATTCTGTAATTTATGTTCTATTTGGCCCAGCTCTATGCAATTTACTTTGTTTGATGCCACTAGATGCCAAAAAGTACCAGAAAAAAGAATCTTTCAAATAACGGCTTCTAAACAGGAGTTACTACATTATATGTGAAGCCAGTGAAATTGTCTATTTCTGCATCTAAATGTGTCATTGTGAGTTTCCTTTGCAAAAACAGGCTTTATAAAACACATTAACCCCACAATCCTATTTTACCCTGTGCCACAAGCACTTTAATTGATTATTGATTGAATTATGTTTCATTTTTATGTTTTTCTAAGTAGTAATATACAAAATGGCACAAGCGAATTGAACCAAATTTGACATATTGTGTTATTCTACAATCAGTTGAATTATTTCAGGATGCACAAGACTGTCTACATTATAAAATATATCTGGTCTATCACAATCTAAAATAGAATCCATATCCTCCAGCTTTATATCATTCCATTTATGTGCATTCTGTATTGGGATACTGCTTCACAGCATCTCTCACCTCATCAGCTCACTCCTGTATCCAGAGCATCTCTCCATGACAACATTGCATCATCCCTGATCCAGAGCAGAGCTAATTTGCTAACCGGCAGCTATCTGTAGCATTCATAGCGTCAAACAAACACATATAAGTTCATCCACACAGCACTGTAATAATCCATCTATATTTACTGTATATTCACTGAAATGCATAATGTACTGTACTTTTCTGTCAATAAACTGTGTATCAGATTGCTAGCTGTGCTATCACGTTTCGAAACAATGATTACAATATCAAAAACACGCAAACACATGCTCATAAAGCCTTATCAGACGCGCGTTCATTCCTCTCCACGGCGCCGCTGAATGTTCTTCACCATATATAACTTGTAATATGATTATCATAGATTGATATAATCCGAATCGCGTGTGCAGTATCCTTTCCGTGAGGAAAATGCGCATTCAACACATTCCAGAAACTACAGTGACCAAAAAACCCCACAGGTACAGTCCCTCTCTCTCTCTCTCTAGTAACGCAGAGGTGTCACATTTCACGGCTCTGAAATGGCCGCCGAGTTGACAGACTGTAATCTGACCAATTGCAGTCCACAAACGACCACAGATCTGTATAACATCAGACACGCTGGCTTTGCGCGCTTTGGATATGAAGAGCGCCTGTTTCCAGACGAGCGTCTATTTCGCTACCTGGACAAAACGCTATATATCTCACCGATGGAAGCATGCAGAAACGTGAAAATGGTCTTGTTTGAAAGAAGAGATCCTAATCTAAAAGATATTATAGATATATTTGTGGCTATTTGCGGCTGACTGAAGCAGTGCTACGAGTATAAATATAAATTCGCTCAGAGGTGACAAAATTTTACATCGCGATTCTATCGAAGATAATTAGATCTGTGATTGTCACACAATGAAATAATCTACATCGTCAAATTTATGAGAATGAGAGCTTTCTTATAAAAATATATAAAATACACATTCTTCGTAAAAATTATTCGCAATGGTTAAGCGGAAATTCGTGTGTGGGACAAATACATTTCTAAGCTTAATTTTACTGTTTTATGAATATAAATACCAAAAGGAATGGTATTCTTTGTAAAGAAGACACTCCAAGCTTTCAAATGAACCCATATATGGGCTGATACCATATAAGGAAGGCTATGTAAATAAAGCATAAACATTTTGAACGTGATTTTGGACCCGTATCCGGGTCCGCAGAGTTTAACTGGTTTTAATTAACATTATAGAGTTAATTATAATTAAGTGCTGACTGAACATTATTGAAGACACCTGCTGTTAACAAGCAGAATCATTGAAGAAAAGAGAAACACAATAGCTGTTTCCATCGCCCTGTTTTTATGCATATTTTTGTAGGGTTTTTATTATTATTATTAGCTCTAAAAAGGGAAATATTTAGATTATATCTTCGAATTAACTGTAGCAGAATCAATATTACAATTATTTGATCTGTCCATCCACCGAGCAGACAATATAATCATTTATCAATTCAAGGAATGTTTATTTTTCTGGCTACGGAATAATAAACTGTCCTTCTTTGTGCAGTGCTAGC